GAGAGAGAGAGAGAGCGAGCCCCTTTTCCCCCCCGGAAAGGGAGGAAGAACGGAGTGGCCGGTGATAATCAATCGAAAAATGATTTCGAATGGCGTAACGGATGCGGTCGCTCGCGTCATAAATCTTGAAACCTAGCGATTAAGCAGATATGTCCACCTGCCATAGCGAATATTCACGATTTTTGATATACGAGGACGAATTCGGAATACAATTACATGCGTGTGTCGAAGCGTGCAACTTGGTAATATTCTATTCGATCTGAGTGTTGTCTAAGCATCGTTTGACTGTAGCGCAACTGAATATCCAAATGTGATACAAAAAAGTGTGATACAAAAAATACATTCATTTAAACGAATGCGTAAATTAACAGAGACATTTATCTTTCTGGCGCTACAACGATATTTCACGCTGTAATTATGACTTAATTTTGCATTCAAATGTTATTGTTTTCTGAGGCTAAGGAAATATAATTGTCAGTTTTATTTATTTTTTTTTCGTCAGTGATTTTTACATTTTATAAATTATTCAACGATTACACTTTTTTATTTAAATTATTAAAAAGAAATAATCTTGTTTCTTCTGAAATTACTTCATGGGAAAATAACATATGAAGCGTTTCATCGATGAAAAATAATTTCTCCTTCGCCCCGACAAAAAGGCACAGATTGGAAAGGTATTTAATAAACGAACAGTTACGAATTTATAGCTGTTGAATATTCATTTGTATCCTCTTTTATGGCGTATTCAGTATTTCGTAAAACAATTTAAGTCAGTATTTCAATTATTGGCCCGAAAAAGTGTTTCACACGAGGAATATTCATCGGACAAAGAAATTATGTATCGTGCAGGTGGTCCAGGAGCGAGAGCTCGAAATTACTAGAAAACAAATTAATTTCGGTCTCACGCGCCTTTCGTTGAAAAGCCCTGCGTGTTCTGCATTCCCGCCTTTTCGAGGCGGTCCGTCATAATAATAGCTATCCACTTTTGATCTAATCCTAATTAAACTCTAATTAAATAATTCATCCGCCCATCAAGAGAACGGAAAACAAACGAAAAGATATATTAAAATCCCAATAAAGTGTACCGTTTAATACTTATCAAGTTCTTAAATCTCCGACAGGATCTGCTTAGATCAGCACTTGTCGATAGTTCCACTACATACTCCTTCAATCTACATCTAATTTATGTCGAACAAGCGAATAAAATACGAATAAAAAGAATAAACAAAAAAAATTTATAACACACTCTCTATTTAGTTTAATGCAACTAAAGAATAGAACATTTATTAATGTTACTTAAAAATTATTTATATATCGTATAAAAAATATATAATATCCTGAATATCCCGCTTATATTTGAAAGTATGTTTTTTTGCTCTGTAAAATCCATTTTACAATGAAACATGTTTTAAATTCCTCTATCACATTTATCTGTGTATGTTTAATTAAAGTTAAGAATTGATAAACTTCCCTTACAAATAAAACTCTTTTTCTTTATTTTATTATTCCTCAGTTACAAAGTTTGATGTCGTCATCGCTTGCGTGGCTTAAGATTGGATTCAAAGACACCAGGGTGGTCCGCGTCCGTGACCGGAAGAATTAAGAGGGAATAAATTAATTTTGGTCTGTATGGGCGGCAAACAGTCCGTTCTGTCTCGCCACATTGATGAAATGGGGGGCCCCATCAGGTTCTCCTTCCGTTCGCAATTTCTCGTCCGCGCATCGCGTAAAATAATAACTTTATGACGCGACGCTCCAAAATGAGACGGGGTTGGACCGTGTGAACGAAATAAAGGGCCGTGGGATGAATAAGGGGGTCTCTCCGAACACATACAGTGAGAAAGAAACGGTGCGAGAAACACAGGAGATAAAAGGTGAGCCGATGTGGAGAGGAGAGGAGAGAAAGAAGAGGGAGGGGGAGGGGGCGAAGAGGAGGGAGGGAGAGGAGTCGCGGCACGAAACGACAGAATGGAAACTAAAATAGTCCTCGCGACTCGAAACGAAGGAAAAACTCATTCCGTCTGCTCGCTCGCAGCCCTGAGCTGCTCTATTGTGAGACGACCAACTATTGTGTAGTTCGCGGTAACCACGGACCACCGTCGTTCGTTTCTCGTCTCCCTTCCCCCTCCTCCCTGTCCTCTTTCACTCATCCCCGGTCCTCTTCTCGTCCTTTCTTTCGAACCTCCGTAGAATCCACCACCTCACTCGGTCGCGCGCACCCTCCGTCGCCGTACGTCATTCCTTTTTGTCCCGACGCGGTCGCGCTGCGAAACGACGCGACGGCCCGTCGAAATGGCGCGTCCTTCTTCTCGTTGCTCACGATATTCCTTACGGAGGTGCACAGAGCGTCGGTTACTAGATGCGCGGTGGAAAAAAAAAATGGTATCATCTCGAGATATTGCCGCGAGTCGGTCAAATCGTGTCCCTCCCCCCCGAGACTTTGTCACTCTCTTTAAAGATACGAAAACGTGGGACGCGCGTTTTGTCTGTCGCGAGTAGTTCTTGTTCTTCCAGATAGCTATTAGATAAATGAAGATAAGAAAGGCGAACAAAATGCCTTGGCTTTCTTCAGCTTCCGTCGTCACGTTCTTCATAGTGTTCCTTTGCCATTCGTATTATTAAATCAGTATCATCGTAGCCTGATGGTGAGATGACGATGCCGGAAGGCCGCCTAGCGTCGTCGTGCTAATTTCAACCTAAGTTTCTCGTAATGAGATAGCTCGACTCAAGAAGTTATCGTCGTGGGTCGGTTCCGATGCATCGTACTTTCCACGGAAATTCCGCTGAAGATGCTAAAACTAACATTTCACAACGCGAAAAGGGTCCAACTATTCGTAAAAATTGGAAGCAAATGAAAATTCGTATGCTTTCTTCTAGCTTGAATAAAATTACTTTAAGGAAGAAATTATAAAACATGTCGCAATTAATAATCTCGTAATTTGACAACGATGTGTATTTTTTCCCGGCTTGTTAAACAGTAAAAAAATGATAATTATCGTGTCAGTTCTTCCTGACACGAAGAAAATTAGTCATAAATAAAAAAAATATTTTTATATATAAGTAAGAATATTATCTTCTTAAAAATTTTAATCTTGATTTGATTAAATTTATGTTGATGAAAGTATCTTTTCTTTAAATTATCTTTGCTCAACTCAAGACTAAAAATTTTTTATACGAAGATTATAATAGTCTTGATTTAAAACTGATTTTTTTTTCTGTGAACAAACTTTATTCTGAAATCTTATTATAAATTTCTGTTTGTCATAAAGATTTAT